CCCCTTTTTCCCCGCATCAGGATTGTCTCCCACTGCCCGAAGGATCACTTCCTTAAGGCACAGCCACCCTTCCTGGGCTCCCATCTCTTCAAAACTCTTACTCTGCAGTTGGAGTACTGTGTCCAGTTCTGGGCGCCACACTTCAGGAGGGATGTGGACAACATGGAGAGGGTCCAGAGGAGAGCCACTTGCATGATCAGGGGGCAGCAAGGCAGGTCCTACAAGCGGAGGCTACAGGACCTGAACCTATTCAGCCTCCACAAGAGAAGGCTGAGGGGGGGATCTAGTGGACGTTTACAAACAAGTCAGAGGGGACCAGCAGGCATTGGGGGAGTCCCTGTTCCCCCAAGCACTACCAGGAATGACTAGAAATAACGGTCACAAGCTGGCAGAGGGTAGATTCAGACTAGACATCAGGAGGTGCTACTTCACCATCAGGGCGGCTAGGATCTGGAACCAACTTCCAAGAGAAGCGGTGCTGGCTCCTACTCCGGGGGTCTTTAAGAGGAGGACAGATGAACACCCTGCCGGGGTCGTTTGATCCCAGTACTCTTTCCTGCCATGGCAGGGGGTCGGACTTGATGATCTGCTCAGGTCCCTTCTGACCCTATGAAACTATGAAGCCACCTTGATTTAGAAAAGGAAAGATTTTTGGAAAAGGAAGGGATCTCTCCCCCCTGAAAGCATAAAAAGTTCTGAGTGTTATTCACAGTTATAACAACCTCAGAATCTTTAATTCCAGGGATTTAGTTTTAGCCATAAAAGCTAGAATACGGAAGGCTAGACATAACGCCTAATTCTTTAGCAAAAAGGTATAATAAAGCAACTACCAACAAACCACACAAATTAAAAACTACACTTGTTATCTCAATACTTATTTGAAGCACATGTTGTATCATGAGAGTTTAAAGTGTCTGGTCTCACTGTTCTGAGCATTAGAGAAGGAACTGAAAGATTGCTGGGCCAATGCCACACTTTATAGTCTTGGGCATACACAAAGAGGCACAAGAATGTCTACAGTCAGGGATAGCTCCTATAGCCCCATACACACACACACAATCTTAGGCATGCACTCATCAAAAGTTAAGTCATGCAGACAATTGCTCAAAGATACTGTTTAAGTATTATTGCATTAAAGAAATCATTTAGTGCTGTAATAACCTTTTCTTTCTCAGCAATAGCTTTCTCTTGATCTATACGAATTCCATCCTCTTCAGAATCAGAGTCTGGAGATACAGAATCATGGGTGCTATCTTCTTTATCCAGTTCTTCAAGTATCCTATCCTGAAATGATAGAAAATTAAGTCAGCTATTAATTTGCATCATTATAATCTGTAACTCTACACAAATGCAAATAAATTACTAGGCAGAGGATCAAGATGATCTAGAGAAGGAGTACAGTCTCATTAATTATTTACCACATCAAGCTTTCCCCATGCTTCATAGTCATAAGACTTTATCTTGTTTTTTTGGTTTTCTTCAGTCGTTTTCTTAGAAGGAACTTTAGTTTTGCTTTTTTTCTTTTTCCTATATGCCTCATTTCGAATTGGTGGTAAATTCTAGATAGAAAAAAAATATTACTTCAATTTAGTTTTCAGTTTTTATTAACAGCAATATTGAGGGTATATATCCCCAAAAACCCCAAACCAATACATGACTCAGGAGGTAAAGACAAAGAGTTTAGGAACCTAATGCAGAATGCATTCAAAAGCTTGTCTAACTCTATCCTAATGACAGTTGGTCCAATAATAGATATTATCCCAAGAAACCCTTGCCTCAAAATTTTTCAGAAAATGAAATTATATGTACAAGTCATTTCAGCATCACAATTCTGAGGTAATTTATATTCAAGTTCACTTTTGGCTTCTGATTCTTAAACTCTTTAAAGGAAACTGTATTTATTCCCTGGTAATATATAAAACACAGCTTCAGTGAAATAATGTTCATGTTGGTGCTGCTCTACAAGCTGATAAAAAGATGGGTAAATAATTGATAATATGCATGTGTGACACTAATAATTTAGTGGGTTGATTCCGTATTTCTTTTTTTTTTTCTTACTCGGAAAGAGTTAACATGAAAAAACCCATTGGCATATTTCATGGCAACCATTTGCATATTTCTCACCAATACCAGTTATCTATTTGTGCACAGGCAGTGAAATTCTGGTACCACTGAAGTCAATAGATGTTTTGCCATTTATTTCAATAGGAATCTACATCAAGTTTATTTGTACTTAAATAAGCCCATCTACTTCCAAAACATTTTCTGCAATTTGTGAACTCCTTCAGAAGCAACAGATTTCCTTCGAATCCTATTTGCACTTCTCATGCAAGTAGGCCCACTGAAGTCAAAAGGACTAACAAGTTAATGTAAACACCCAGGATTTGGGCCATCAAAATTAAATACCTTAAATAATGGATTACTTGCTCTGCCGTGTAAATTGTACGGAAAAAAAGACAGAGAAAGAAACTGGCCTGTTTGCAGGTAAGCACACGTGCGTACACACACCCAAAACAAAAAGCCTCCAAAAACAAAAACTTGAATACCAAACAAGCAGTTATTAAGCAAACTACCCTACCTTTCTTTGGATAGTGCACCATGTAAATCTAATAAATACCACTTTTATGAACAGGCATATTCATTTACAGATTGGATTCTTGAATTTACCTCCTCTGGGGCACCACTCTGTTTTCTTAGTTCAGAATCCACCTGCTTTATATCTTTTTCCCAGCTCTCTAATTCCTTCATAAAATCATGCAGCTCTTCGGCATTTTGTTTCATTTGTAGCTGTACCTCTAGTGCTTTATTTGGAGAAGTCATTATTACCTTCTGAATTGGGGGAATAAAAACAAGTCTGATGAGAATTACAGCATTTATTGGAGGCTAGCTTCATTAATATAAGTGTAAGGAGTGACCTAGAAACCTCTACTCAAAGACAAAGCAGAAGAGAATGCTATGTGAAGAATGCCCATCTGCAATGATAAGGAGGAGACAGTCCTAGATAAAGGGGGCTTGAAAACAAAAGAAGAAACAGAGTACTGGGTTAAAGGGCTCATTAAAATACTAAAAGTCACACCCCTAGGTGGGGAAGAAGTATGCTAATGAAACATATGTATGTAAATGAGATACATGGCTAAAACACAGGTATAGAGACATGCTCAGTAAAGAACTTCTTGCGTCACTCACTTATAACCAATCATTAAACAAGCACGCTTGCGAAGGCATTGAAAACTCCTGTATAAAAGATGCTTAGAAATAGTGATCTGGTGTGCTTGTTACATGAATTATTCCGCTTGCACCTTTTATTGCTAGCAATAAACCTTCTTTGTACTTTCACCCCTGGTATCTTTATTGGCCTTTGCATACCAGGCACGATCCCAGACTTGAGCTGGGGCACAACATAAGGAGTCATAGTTGAACTAGACTGAATTACTTGGCAGGCACTATTCATTTTTCCCCACCATTATCAGAAAAAGCCCATTAAGTATGAAAAGGATGAAAAACAAATAAGTTAAAATGTCTCTTAAAAAAAAAAAGAAAAGAAATAATAACGGTTCAACTCTGAATGAAAATATTTCAGAAGAATTAAACAAGTCACATTTGCATGATTTTGGAATGTGGAGCCTTTCCTGAAATAAGTCAAGGAACAATCATCCAGAAGTTGACAAATATGCAAACGCTAAATCCAGATTAAAGAAAACTTTTCTTCAGGGATTTTTTCAGAATGTTTTAGCTATACAATCCTGTGATTTAAACCAAAAGGGGCTGTCTTTAAAATATTAACATTTAACATAAAGTTCAGCTACAGAACTCACCCTCTCATGTTTCCCTGTAGAAGCAGAAAATTAAATGAGATGGGCAGGGAGGACCCTTCTTTACCTTAACATTTAATAGTCTGGGTAAAGTTTAAATTCCCATCAATACTTTAGTTCAGTGGTGTCCAACCTTTTGAATGTGGGGCTGGATCATGAACTTTTTATCACCCAGTGGGCCGGCGAGCCATATTCAAACACCCTCTGTCCTGGGTCAGAGAGACCCTGCCTGTGTAGCCCTACTGCACCTGCCTGTTACTGCAAGGTTCATGGTAGGCAGGGCCAGAAGGGACCCATTCTGCACCCAGCCAGCTACTGCCCCAGAAACTGAAGGGGAGAAATAAATAGTTCCACATCTCCATCCCCCGAGCAGCGCAGCCCCACGAGCCGGTGCTGCCCGAGGGGGGCTGGAGCGAGGTGGTCATTGTACCGCAGCCCCTCACCCGCCCGCCCGCACGGCCCTGCTCACCATGGTGCCTGGCCGCCCGTGCACGTAGCCCTGGTGGCCTCAGCGCTGCAAGCCTGGAGCGCAGGGTCCGGCAGACACCAGCTCCCGCCGCCTTGCCCCGCAGAGGTCACACCAGGACCCCCCCGCCAAGGCCTCCCCGTGTGGCTTCCCACATGCTGCTGGGGACAGGAGGAGACCGGCCAGGTCGGCACCAGCTAGCAGAATTGGCGGCGGAGCCATGTGCTGCTTGGGACTGATCGGTGCAGGCAGGGGGAAAATGCAGCTGAGCCACTGCTGCTCCGGCCAGGCTCGTCCGGTTCTGAGCGGCACACGCCTCCGCTACCGCTGCTTCTGCTGGCCGGTGCAGACCCAGTCGGCCTCCTCCCGTCCCCAGCAGCTTGTGGGAAGCCGGCTTCAGCCGCATTTTGCTCCGGATGGGACGGATCCAGCCGGGTCAGCACCAGCCAGGAAAACCAGCA